TGGGCGCCTTGGTTTCAAACTGTGACAGAAGTGTTTTCAGAGAACAGGCGATTGATTAAGGACCTACAGCAGCATATTGAGAGTTTGGATGAAAAGGTGAAGGATCGTACGCGGACGATTGCTCAAAAGAACCGAGAGCTCATGGATACGTTAGAAGAGCTAAAAGCGGCACAGGCTCAAATTGTTTTGCAAGAGAAATTAGCAAGTTTAGGATCTGTAACGGCAGGTATTGCTCATGAGATGAAGAACCCTCTAAATTTTATTATCAACTTTGCAGAAATTTCTGGGGACTTAATGAAGGAGCTTAAAGAGTCTATTGAAAAGCAGCTTGAAGGAGAAGTAAATCCAGATTATCAAGAAATTCTGGGGAGTTTGGAGCAAAATTTAGCGTATATCGAAGAACACGGCCATCGGGCAGACAGCATCATTCGCAGTATGCTCATGCATGCGAGAGGCTCATCAGGAGAAAAACAGGGTACAAATGTTGTAAAATTGTTGCAGGAAAGTATTTCACTCGGGCTTTCTAATTTCCGAGGGGAAAAGCATGCACATCTTCCAAACGTTGAAACGAATTTTGAAGAAAACTTACCAGAGATACCATTGGTTGTAGAAGATTTGGGCCGTGTTTTTCTCAATGTTATTAACAACGCATGCCATGCAACAGAACAAAAATGGCACGATCTTGAAAAAAAAGAGGAACTTGAAGGTTATAAGCCTGAAGTTAGAGTGTCTGTTAAGCAGTCAGATAATTTTGTTGAGATTTGTTTTCGTGATAATGGGTGTGGTATTCCTGCCCGCCTTAAGAAAAGGGTTTTTGAGCCCTTTTTTACAACAAAATCTACAGGAAAAGGCACAGGTTTAGGATTGTCGATGAGCTATGATATTGTTGTCCAGCAACATGGCGGTATTATGAATGTTGACAGCAGTATAGGGAATCATACAGAAATAAGAATCATGCTACCTATCCATCCTAAAGAGACAGAGTAAATGTCTGAATTTAAAACCAGTTTACGATTAAAAAAATGCCGTGAATTTATGATATCCCAGGGTGTAGAAGCCTTTTTTGTGCCACGATCGGATGAATACCAAGGAGAATATGTAGCTCCTTACGCAGAGCGTTTGAATTGGCTTTTTGGGTTTTCAGGGTCTGCAGGACTTGGGGTTGTGACAAAAGATGACGCAGCACTTTTTGTAGATGGCCGTTATACGTTACAGGCACAAGCAGAAGTTGATCTCTCTCTTGTTAAGGTGCACCCTTTGGATTTTGCGGTTATTTTTTCTTGGGTGGCAGAAAAAATTAAGGGTGGGGCAGTCGGCTATGATCCTTGGGTGATGACCTCTAAACAGGTTCAACACTATGTTTCCCGAGGGCTTGAGATGAAGCCTATTGAGAATATTGTAGATTTAACTTGGGAGGATCAACCCAGTCCCCCCACTGACCCAGTCTTTGAACATCCTGAAAAATATGCAGGGG